CGGACGAACCCTTACTCCGCCCTCTGCAACCAGATGCTGGCGGAGGCGATGAAGCAGCTGCACGGCTGCCCAATCCCCCTGGGAGAGATCGGTAAAATGAGTACCCAGCTCGCTGGGGGGGGGCAATGTGTAGCCTGCATAATTAAATTGTAAACCACCCAGAGAGTGCTTGAAGCGCTATAGGACAGTATATAAGCAGCACACTTTGCTTTGCTTTGCTTTTCTTCCGGGGGGGGGTAGGGGGCCCCAGCTGAGAGTCCCGGGGCTCTCCCGCTGAAGGAGCATGCGTGCGTGGGGGGGCGAATAAAATAGAGGCCTCTGCAAAAAGGTGGTCCAGCTTGGGCTCGCTCCCCCACCACCCACCCGTTTCCCTTTTCCTCTTCCTCCTCCTCCTGCCGCTGGCCGCTCACCCTCTTCCGCTCTTCCTCGCCCTCTCGCTGCCATGCTGCGCCCGCCTGCCCGCCACTCACCCGTTTCCCCTCTTCCTCCTCCTGTTGGGGGGGTCGTCTTATACGGCCGGTCGCCTTGTGCGCTGGCAAATACGGTAGTTTCAAGGGCCAATTCTAAAAAGCTAGGATAATGGCCTATCTCACAGGATTATTATGAAGGCACACAATAGAAAGCATTAGGATGCTATTTATTCTTGCAAGTGATCTGTCTTATACAATACAATATAATTAAGCTATAGGATTTCAGTCAATGTTTTTTTCCCTACAATTAATTTGTTTTCTAATCCTGATTTAATTTACATTAGATATTTAAAATATTCTACTAGTCACCTTACAGACCCACTAGATTCAATATGGAATATAAAGATTTCAATAAATAAAATGTTAAAGTCAAACAGGCTGCAGCTATGAAACTGATTAATACTTAACAGAAAACCCCTGGGGTCATGTAAATTGATCTGAACTTTCTAAACAAATAGCAGTATTACTGGTAGTAAATATTTTTTAAGATATATCAACAATATATCTTAAAACAACAATCTGTCTAACTTCAAACAACCCTTATGTGCACAGTGGACTGCCATGACTCATCATGTGTTATAATACGTGTAATAAACAGAAATAGCACTCTCTGGAAGTACCATCAGTACAAGTACAATTACTACACACTTAAAGGCAGTCCATAGCTCTAAGATGCAGATGTATCTCTTCACATTCAACCATATTTTCCATAATTTGCATCAAGTCAAATATTGGCTAGAAACCTTTAGCACAACTCTAAACCTATGAAGGCTGGCGATTCGTCAGCTGCAGATATTAATCTTCAAATTAACATTCCTAAATAGATATGGGCACAAATTAAGTCAGTCCAGGGCAATGAAATTTGTCAACAAGGCACCACGGGTGCTGTGTGTTCCCTCCCCCCCCCACTGCCCTACTCCAATGAGGTGGTGGGACAAGAATTCTCCCTGTGCAGCCCTTGAATGGTTGGCTGCTGAAGGAGGCAGGAAGGGAAACCCGACCTCCTTCCCAGGCTGGGCAGCCAGCAAAGGATGATAACCCAGGCAGGGTGCAGTGGCATGTAAGTGGGGCAACTGGGCAGGAACACAGACAATTTTTATCACCCCAGGCTGAATTAATTTGTACCCATCTTTATTCTTAAACCACCAAGGGGTTCCAAGGAGTGGCCTTTGGGAGCCTCAAAATACAGGGAAATTAGAAGAGGGACAAGAAACAATAAATAAATAATTAACATCCATGGCCAATGACATAATCTCAGCCTTACAAGAGCACAGCTCTGCCAAGATAATTCAGCCATTTTGCAGTAAAGCAAGGCAGCACTAGTACTGAACTTAATGGATGACACAGTAGTAAATGACAACCTCACTGGCAAATCACAGCACATATGACACATATTCTACAAAGGGACTTCAAATCAACATACTACCATAGCTCTAAACAAACCCATACTGAATCTTGTACCTCAAAGAGAAATGTGTGGAGGTATGGTGATATGTTGATTTGAAGTTTCTTTGCAGAATTTGTGTCACATGCGCTACGATTTGCCAGTGATATTGCAATTTATAATTATGGTATCCATTATCACAGCATGGCAATGTGCCTGTAGTGCCATGTGTGAATACAGAAAAGACTTATTTCACACATGCCACTACAGGCACATTGAGCTAATTTCCATGAATGAGGTGAAATGTGTCAAAGTACATTGCTTGCAGAGTCTGTTTATTGCAATATTAAGTGTTTGGGAGCATTCTGAAAATTAAGTGCTGGGTGCGATATTGTCGAGAAGGTACTGTGCAATTTTCTTTTAAGACCAATCAATTTGCGCTGTCATGCGTATCTGTCTTTCTTTCACGTAACGCACACATGCTAAACACGCCCATATCAAGGTTTCAATAACGCACTGAACAGTCTTTCCCAACCTTATGTTCTCCATATGTTTTAGAATGCAAAATTAACCCAGCAACAGCCAAGAATTGTAGATGTCGAAAATAATTGACTGGTACTAGATTTGGGGGAAACTGATAACAATTGTTGTTTTGATGGTTGTTCGGGCTCTTTGGCTATGTTCTGAAGGTTGTTCTTCCTAACGTTTTGCCAGTCTCTGTGGCCGGCATCTTCAGAGGACAGGAGTCAGAACTCTGTGCTATGCCGAAAAACCCAAAACAACCATCAGATCCCAGCAGTGAAAGCCTTCGAGAATACAATGGTTGTTTTGCTCATCATTAGTAATGACAGAATATACTTAGTCAACAGATTCCAATGCCTGTTCTTCCAGATTCATTATCAATCCCTTCACACCATTGCTGATATAATACCAGATATAGAATATTTATTTTAAGTGGAAAGAAAAATTACATATTAGCTTGTATCCTATCGCCCAAATGCACAGCAGAATGGTAATCACATAAAAGTCCTCCCCAACAAGATCCCTGTTGCATGACCAGATACATGACCAATGCAAGAATGGGCATACAGTCATACAGTGAGGAGAACAGTGTCTAGGCAACAAAATACTGGACAATGCTGTAATTACTACATTTGAAGATCTGAAGTGAGCTGTAGTCTACAAAAGACTATGCCAAGCAAAAGACTAATTGATTTGTCTTTTAAGATTCCACAGAACTTCTTGTTATTTTTGCTACAACAGATTAAAATTAGTATCCCCTCCCCAAGCTGTTTCCCCAGCTATAAAAAATGCCTGCTCTCCCTCTCCCTAATACTAATTCCATTTTTTTAAAAAGATGATACACACACAGGTGGAAATTATTTTTCTGCTTCCCACTCATGCATATCTGACACACGGATATATTCTTAGCATCCACATACTGCTACACAGCATCAGAACAGAAGCAAACTAAGAGTTTTGACCAACAAGAAGGCTTTTAAGGAGAGAAATCCTTCCCCAGCCAAGTACTCAAGAAAGCATATTCAACAGCTCTAACTATCCAAAGCAATCCACTCTTTTCTCAAGCATTTTCACTATTAAACCTAAACACTGGGAAGAACTAAAATATACTAGCTACCCTGATATAATTTAGTATGAAATCTGTGGTGCAGCAGAAATATGGTTAAAGAAAACCAGAGTAGGTGGGTTTTTTTTAAAAGCCATCTCTTAAATATACAGTATACTTTCATATTGTTAAGAATGCAATAAGTTTCCTCAAGAATATCTTTCAGGTTATACACTCTTTTTTCCAAGACTTTCAGTCATTACTCTCTCTCTCTCTCTCTCTCGCTCTATGTGCTATCCTTTATACACATAAAAGGAACCTTATGCTAACTTGAAACATAAAGTCTATCTAGCAAAACATCATCTACTGCCAGTTGCTCTTTCATTTTCATAGAGCAAAGAATCATAACCAGGCCAGTTACTGCATACCAAGAGGATCTTTCTTAAGATGAGGTCTCCTCCCAAGCCACCCCTACACGCCTTTGTCTGTATCCTGACCCAATAACCCTATGACCACTTTATCTGGAGTAACAGTGTAATCTTATGTGCATTCATTCATTATAAATTTCTGCTGTATAACATGAAGCTCACTCACTGCACATTTACCCAGGAAAAAAAGTACAAATTAGGGATCACTCATGGAGTGGTCCATTGGTCCACATAGGCGGGGTACAAATCAAATCAAATAAATAAAAAGACTTGTTTACAGGTACCTCACCATTTCCCAAGGTGCCCAGCATGGCATACCCAAGGCACGCACTATGCCTAACCCTCCACATTTTGCTAGCTTGCCTCTTCCATCATCCCTGGCTAATGCCCATGGATGATGAGAGGTGAAGTCCCAACACCAGCTGGAGAGCCGAATTTTACCCATCACCGGCAGACACCATTCTTTGCCTTCCCTTTCCCTATAAGCCAGTGAAGGAGAAGAGGCTGAAAAATAGCGGCTGCCCCAATGTCACCCATTGAGAGTCATGCCTGGCCGGGGACTGAGAGCCAGGATCTCTCCCACCCGACCCTAACCAGTACAGCACACCAGTAATTAGGATTGCCGCCTAATTAACTCAAGGCTATTTACTTCCCAGTAAACTTCCACACAAGGCTGAGGGGGAAGAACCAATCTCTTACATTTCCCCCCCCCCTCATGCCCTAACCCCATGCCGCCGCTACAGCCGCCTTTCCCAACCCGTCGCCCTACAAATCCCATCCTCCACCCCCAGGCCGTCCATGGGCGACCGCCTGAGGAATGCGGGAAGTTGCAACCCCGCCCGCTTGGAGGGCTGCGGGCGGGCGTCCTTCGGGCCCCTCCTGCCACGCCCAGAGTAGTCCTCCACCACCACCCCAATCATCCCAACGGTCTCATTTCTTCCCCCACCCTGACCCCCACACTTGTGGGGCCTCCTCAACCGCCGGGGCGCTCCTACCCTTACAACACCTCAGTTTCCCTTCCACGCTGAAAAGGGCGGGAAAAGTGAGAGAGGGTGGCGTTTCAGGGGGCTCGCCTCACAGAAAAAAAGCCCTTCGAGCAGCTTCGTCGCCTTCACCGCCAAGGAGACCCGTCCACACCCACCTAGGTTTACCTCAGCGAAGAGAAGAAAACGAGGACGGGAAAAAAAGGCCAAGCCCAGGCGATCCAGGCCTCTCGTTCTCTCAAGCTGAGGCAAGCCAAGGGGCGTCCCCACGCGACCTGCCAATCATCCTCCCCTTGTCCCTGCCCTAAGACGGCGAGCCAGCCAATCACAACACCGCCCGCGGCTACAAGTTTCGAGGAGGTGTGGCCGCCGGGCTGCCCTTTCCTCCCTTCCCCCCTTCTTCCGCCCGCCGTCACTCGCTGCGCCTCCTGGTACTGCCCAAGTTTCCTTGTTTGTTATCGCCGCCGCTGCGGCCGCCGCCGCCACCCCCCCCGTGCAATTCCAGTGGAACAGTCCACAGACCGAATGGGTGGGACAAGGAAGGGGAAAAGGGCAAGGAACTTTGAAGGGGGGGGGGGGGGAGCAAGGGTGCCGTTTTGCGCCTTCACATGGGGCGGGAATACGATGAACATTGGGACTTTGGTTTAATCCAGCGGACCTCAAATTGCCTACTCAGGGTTTAATTTCACGAAGAGTAAGGGGTCTTGGGAAGCGCAAGTAACGAGTACAGCTTTATAACGATTTTCTGGAGTGTAACTCTCATTCATCTCAGTGGGACTTGTTTCTGATGAAAATATCTCTGGCTCAGGCTGCTTTTCTGTTTTAACACTGAGGGGATATTATTTTCCCACACAAAGGTCCAAGTGGCTCACAACAAATTACAGGAGTACATTTTGCATTGTAACGCACTTGCATGCCATCTTGTTGCTTCAACTGTGAACTAAAGACAGTTCTGTCATTAACAGCCCTGCTCAAGTCTTGCAAACTCAAAACTGTAGTTTTCTTTCTTGAGCCAATTTTCCTTCCTATTTTCCTTCAACTTTTCCTAGAAATATCCTCTTTTCCAGGGAGTCTTGTTTTCTCAAGATGACCCTGGATTGCAAGAAGTGGAGCACAGCTGGACCATGGGACCAGATATTTAGGTTCTGCACTGGTGCCCTTCAGAAGCTCTCAAAACAGGGTATGAAAAAAAAAATAGACCAAAGCGCCATGCCCCTGAATATTGGAATCCACACGTATATTGTATGACTCCTTCAAGGAGAGATTTGCAGATATCTTGGACAGCCAGAAAGATGAACAAGTGAGTCCTAGATCAAATCACGCCTGAACTGTCTCTGGAGGTAAACATGTTGAAACTGAGATTGTCCTACTTTGGGCACATCATGAGGAGACAGGATTCTCTGGAAAAGACAAAAATCTGGGAAAGGTTGAAAGCAGCAGGAAAACAACAAGACTAAATACAAGACAGACCAATTCCCACAGGCTTGATTTTACAAGACTTGAGCAGGGCAGGTGAAGACAGGACATTTTGAAGATGGGGTCACCATAAGCCAAGGGTGACTTGACAGCACATAACAACAACCTTCTTTGGGAGCTGTCATGACTTGCTTCCGAATGTAGCTTTAGGATCTACAGCACCACCCTATGTACTCCATAGGGCTTTCCCATCAGTGTGTTGGTTAAACACAGTTCAGTTAATTTAAAGATCTGAAATGCCTAAAACCACACTTCTTCCTTCTCCTGAATAATCATCCTACAAATTTACATATAATTTTAAATTGAATCATAAAACAGTTTAGAGCCATAGAGGATAAATTGCTGTGCTACAAACTGGGAGACCCGGATTCAGATCCCTGTTAAACCATGGAAATTTACTGGACAGCAGTAATAGCAAATCATTTCTTGAGCAGCTCACATTCTTCAAAAGCCTATTAACGGCACCTTAAATCGGAAGCAATCTGATGGCACACAGGAACAATAACGTTGTTTGTCCTGTAAGAGAAATTATTCTTTTAAAAGTACAAGGATGGATACTCTAAACAGAATAGTCTTCTTCAACTCTGGAACAAACACTGGAACAATTTTTCTGATGCAACTATATGGAGGTTAATACATGTACGACAAAAATATTAACCATGATTCCTTCTAATGGATGATATTTTCATACCAGAATAAGCAATTTTATTGTTGTTATAGGCATACATTTTTGGCTATTTGTTTCCTTAGTCCCTTTTTACTCAGGAGTAATAACCTTGTAGTCCTGTGGACTCAATTTATTACTTGGGAATAAATAATTTCACATTGTATTCACGAAGGATTTCACAGCCGGGATCTAATGGTTGTTGTGGGTTTTTCGGGCTCTTTGGCTGTGTTCTGAAGGTTGTTCTTCCTAACGTTTCGCCAGTCTCTGTGGCCGGCATTTTCAGAGTGCTGTCCTCTGAAAATGCCGGCCACAGAGACTGGCGAAACGTTAGGAAGAACAACCTTCAGAACACGGCCAAAGAGCCCGAAAAACCCACAACAACCAATTTCACATTGTACTTGTGAATAAACATTCATAAGCTCAGGCTGCATGGTTGTACTCCTATGCAATTTACAAAGGAATCCTTTAAGAGTTAAGAGGATTTACTTACAAGTAAAAACATAAGCTGTATTGGCTAGGAAATTCTGAAGATTGTGGTCCAAAAGTATCATTCTTACCTGAACACACCTATTAAAAACTTACCCTCAACTCTAACTCTAGGCACACACAATTCTATGCACATATGTTCCATTCATTTAGTAATACGAATAACTGGAAATTGCAATTATGAGAAAGCAAAGAGATATCAGAGGCTTCTCTCAACAGACACCCAAAATCAATATACAGACATGAGGGTGACTGCCAACACAGTGCTCAAATAAACAGAGCCAAGAATTACAGTCATCCTTCGTCCTCTATGCGTTTACCATACACATAGATGAACATAGTGGCAGGAATTAAGCATATGAAAACTGAATCAACTACCAACAAAACAAATACTTTTTAACCAACTGCAGGGCAATCTTACGTGTTCTGTTAGCTGCACAATGCACTGTGTTCAGCTGAACTTAGTCCCAAGTAAATATGCATAGGCTGCAGATTGGGTGAGACCTGGATTTTGCCTGTCTCCAATGCTAGCTAAAGCATTGGCGAAGAAACAACCAAGTTTGAAGCCACATCCAGTCATAAAGCTCATTGGGTGAACCTGAGCCAGTCATTCTTTCTCAGCTTAATATACTCCACAAGGTGAAGATTAAATAGCAGCAGATATACAGAGCCTTCAGTTCCTTAAAGAAAGACTATGATAGAATAATAACTATTTTTATTGTTGTTAAGTCATGTCCGAGTCTTCATGACCCCATGGACCAGAGCATGCCAGGCCCTCCTGTCCTCCACTGCCTCTCAGAGTTTGGTCAAATAGTAATAACTACGTATAGTAACATCATATAAATACAGTGGTGCCCCGCTAGACGACCTCGCAAAATGATGGATCTGCATGACGATGAGGTTTTGCGGTCGCTATAGCGATTCGCCCACTGGAAACAGTGTTTCCAATGGGCGATTTTCGCTGGATGATATTTGGGTCCGTGCCTCGCAAACTGTTTCTCTCGCAAGACGATGATTTTGACACTGATTGGTGCTTCACAAAACCGGTGTTTTCGGGACTGATGCTTCGCAGGACAGCCATTTTAACAGCTGATTGGTGCTTCGCAAAATGGCTGCCCTATGGGCAATCTTTGCAAAATGACAATTTCCCCCATTGGAACACATTAAACGGGTTTCAATGCATTCCAATGGGGAAACGGTTTTCGCAAGACGATGTTTTCACAAGACAGCGATTTCTATGGAACAGATGATCATCGTCATGCGGGGTACCACTGCAATGCATAAGTCAGGACAGAGTTAAATCCTTGAACTTTAAAAGCTAACTTAGACATAGATACAGTGACAGATATAAAATGATATGATTTATTTGTATTAAATTTGTATTTTTGTCCAATGAGCTCTCTTCCTCCCCTACTTTATCTTCACAATAACCCTGTAAAGTAGAACACACCGAGTGTGACTGGCCTCATGCCACCCAGTAAATGTCATGCTGAATGGGAATTTGTAATTAGGTCTTCTGAGCCCTGGTTCCCCACTCGTTCACAACTATACCACACACTGACCCACCAAATGTTTTACATTTAAACTCAAAAGATGGTTCATAGTTTCTTGCAAAATGTCTACACAGTTCTGGTTCCAAAGCCACAAATATCTGTATTTATATAAATTCATAATAAAAATTAAAGCCTTTTAGAGGTTTTGTTGGGAGAATTAATTTGTAGATTAATTTGTAGGCTGGGTGTTTCTAGCATTTGTTTAGCCCCAACCCCTAGACTGGTAATACCTTTAAAGGGGAGAGAGATTTTCATTGGGACCATAGCACATAAAAAAAAAAGAATTAATAACCTCCTTCTGCAAACTGCAGAGACCATCCTGCAGGAGCCCACCAGCACGGCTTTGTAAAAAGTGCTGCATTTAATGTCACACATAGTTTGGTCTTGACAGATGCAAAATTGCTCATAGCATCATTATCCACACTAAGACTATATGGAAAGTTTATCCAAAGCACGGGTCTACCTTTTTGGTAAGAAATTTCATTTACAAGGGAAGTGAGAGAGAGAAAAGTTGGAAACTGTTAAAAAATGTTGGGGATCGGTTTGCTTCATGAATGTTCAACGTTTATCCTTTTGAGAAGGGTTTGGGGATTTCATATTACTCCCTCCTGCAACTGGCATTCCCCCTATGTGAAATATTCTTTAATGCGCCACACCGCCTGCCTGAGAACTGTGCCTTTTTTTTGCACAAGAATTACATGGCAAGGCCATTTGTTTGTTTGTTTGTTTGTTTGTTTGCTCGATTTATATCCTGCGCATCTGGTATATTCTACCACTCTGGGCGGCTATGATCCTATGTCATTTCTATGAACCACAGGAAGAAATCCACCGGAAGATTTCTTTCCACCTGTATAAAAAATTTAAAGAGAGAGAGAGAGAGAAAGCAATGTAGTGGCACCCTTAAAGAAAAACTGCTATATTTTAATGTGAGCATTTGTAGAATTAAGTCCACGTCCTCCCACATTTGTGGCCTTGATCCATTAAAATACAACAGTAAGTCTTTAAGGAGTCACAGCGTTTTCTCTCTCTAAATCATTTATTTGTCTCAAACGCTTGCACAGACAAACACAGCTACTTCTTCAAAAACTACAATTCCCACCAGTTCTAC